GTGTAGAAGAAAATAATAACTAAATTTTATTTAAACAGCTATATTTAATCAAACATCATGAATAAAATGCAGAACCAAGTGTTTAATGGCTTACCTCTGCAAAACGGATTATGGATGAGGCCTGTGAGTATGTTGCTTGAAGTGCATTTTGCAGCCAACCTCGTGATACATGAAAACGCTCCGCAACATCGTACAACGTCTCCTGTTTCCAGAGTCTGTGAAGCATCAGCGAAATATACAGGCGCATCGGTGCTTCGCCCTCTTTCTAAAATAGAATTTTACAATAGCACTAATTTTCTTGGCCCTTAGAGAATTCCACAAAATCGAAATTCCTTCCAAAAATGATTGGACAAAAAAAAAATTTCCGAACTCAAATTTTACCAGTTTCGGTCGAAGAATGAAACATTTGATAAGTTCCTTATCGTTTAATCCCAGTTGTGCGAGCAAAATCTGCTCATACTTGGATAAGGATATGTACTGAAAAATACACATGTGCGTATGTATAAATTTTAACACTTAATCCAATGAAACTGTAGGAATTTCGCAAAATATAGGGTGTAATTAACAAAAATGACTCAAAAAAACATTTTTAATAAAAAATAAAAATAAGAAAGTCAATAAAAAACAAAAACTAAAAAAAAAATTTTTTTTATGCCACGACTGATTTTATAGACTTTTTACTGCATAGTAAATGTGAATTGCTGGCGGGCTTGACGAAACTATGTGTGGCGTTTACTCACAAGCTCGAGTCCCCTCACCCCGCCCCACTCCAAAAAAAAACAATTCCTCAACAGAACGGTTAAAATTTGAGATATTTTAGCATTCCAAAAGGTATTTTAACTTATTTTTTGAAAAAATAAAAACCAAGCCAGTACTAACAGTAATGCCACTGAATGGAAGCTTTCGGCAAAAGATATAGTTGCGTGCCATTTTAGTGCCTTTTTACCTTTAACAAGCAATGAAATTTCGATGAATTTTAGAATTTGATTTTTCTAGATAAAACATGGAAATATGACATTTGCATAAAAGCATTTTGAGCGAATAAACATAAGTATAATTAATAAAAAAACAATGGCGCATATAAATACGGTCAGAATGACAAAATGCCTCTGCTCGAAAAAACCGCTACGCTGTTCATCCTTTTAGGAGGCTTCGGGAGAAAAAGGGAAATAACAGAATCGCTTGACAAGGTGACCAACAGTCGTTGCAACATTGTTGCAAAAGAAAGAAGGTGTGCTAGCAGCAAGGTAACGAAGATGGGAGCTAAACACACTTCGTCTTGCCCAGTTGCCCATCGGTTCCCTGTAATACGCAAATGTCCCGTCTCTTAACCCGAGTTCCCCCTCCATGATATTTAATGTGGTGATTAGAAACGAACTTGAAATTGTTTTGTGACACTGAAAAATTGTGCGGTGGCAGCTTGGAGTTGCTGCCGGGTTATTTCGTGGTTTGTTTGTTTTCTTGATTTTTTTTGGTTTTGTTTCCACGCTGCTTTACTTATAAAAAATTGCTTATTAAGTTGGTGTGCGTGCCTCCCTCCCCTCCTCCCCCCCACAGCTGCACCCCGCAAAGGCCCCTCTCGTTACATATCAATTATTTCACATATAAGTAATCAGCTGTACAAGAATCATACCACGAACTGTATTTGATCCAGAAAAGTGTAAGTAAAAAAAAAATAAGCAAAGAAAAAAATATGAGTAGAATTACCAGTGCAATTTTACCTCGTCATAAAAAATATCCCAGTCAATTGTGACAGCTAAATTGAATGGTACCACGATAAATATTAAGTGGAAGTCCGAGGACAATATAATACCCTGAAAAATAAAAGGTTCAGGAAGGCAGGACAATTTTGCTGAATAAATCAAGCTTGATAAAATTTTTCACTGAATAATAAAATTTTTTTATAATTTTCACTCAATAAAACATTGAATAATAAAATTTTTCTAACTGAACAAAAATTTCACTGAATAAAATTTCGCTAAATAAAATTTTTCACTGGAAAATACTTTTCACTGAGAATCAT